ATAAATACCTTAATAATTTGCGATATAATCCGTTTCGGTTTCAAACTGTCACTTTCACACTCAACATATGAAAATCTCCTCTATTCCAGACAATCCGAAAAATGCTATTATTTCACACTATAAACCATTTCACTCTCTAAATTATTTAATTCGCTCAAATATTTCGACACGTTGAATGGGATTTATGGGAGAACTTAAAATGGAATGCGCCAATCACACAAGTCGCACAGAAGTGGGATTATTGTTGCGGCAAACCGCGAACCAATTGGTATGCGATCATCGAGCCCAGATGTGACGCAATGCGCGAGTGATATGCTTCGCGAAGCATATACTTATCAAGTGCGGACGAGCTCGCTGATTAGCGCTAGGTGCCGATGAGCATGTAAAATTGCTGGGAACAACCGGTTGATTCGTTGACCTTGCGTTTTTTTTGCCGATCTCATTGAATACAGAATTTAACACTGCAGGTTCTACGGCGCGTTCTATTTTTCTTTCTCACTGGATGTTAAACAAAGATAAAATGACGCTCGCATCGTTGCGAGTGTAAGTGGAACCTGCCCTAAATGTAGCCGTGCGGGCCTCCAGCGGCGGGACGGGGGGAGAGAAGGAAAGGAGAAGGGGGAGGAGCGGAAGAGTGGGGAGAAAAGAACGAAAGAGAGATAGAAAGACAAGGAAGACGAGGAGGAAAAAGAGAGCGCTTCGGAGATGAGTGAAGAAAAGAAAAAAGGGGGTTCGACGTGGGGAAATAGGGGATGAGGCCTTGGCCATAACATTACAGAGGAGCCTGCTGAGTGAGATATTACCGCCGTCATAACCTCTAATAACTACACAGAGCCCTTTATAACGCCTCCCAGTGCTTCATTGTGCCGCGGTAGTAGGCTCTCTCTCCTCTTGTCTCGTACGTAATATAGGTAAAGCTCCGTCGAGAAAAATAGAAATAAAGAGAGAGAATGCGTGTGCGTGCGTGTGTGTAAAAGAAATCCGTGCGTTCTCGGATGCCGAGCTTTTACTATACCGCGCAGTATCCGCGCCTATTCGAAACCCATAGAAGAAAAAACGGCAAAGAGAGAGAGAGAGAGAGGTGAAGGAGTGGATCGACGAGCGGATAGCCGATCGGGGATGCGCTGTGGGGGCGGTTATATCTCAAGGGATGCGCAATACGCAGATAGCATGCCGAAATGTCTGTGAAAATGATCCCGTGCGCAGAAATGCTCGGTACTTGCAGACGCCAGGTCACGCCAGGATTTAATTAGCATTCGATCAGTTCCGCCGAATCTCTCCAATAGCTTTCAGTCGTCTACCTACAAGTCGTTTCTCGCGTGTAGAATCACTAGGATGGATCCGACAGTACGGCCACAACAACATTTCCCCATGCCTCTGTGCGCGCGCGGGTTCAATTTCACGCTTCCGCCTTTAGTTTATCGCCGTTTAACGCGATATAATTGAAATTACGAACTTCCAGTGCTATTTACCTCGTCACGCCTTCTTAGATATTTTTTTCTCATCACTGAACCCATTCAGTTAATTCGTTATCGATCTTTTGTCGCGGCTGCGGAAAGCTAAACGCGGCTAAATAATCGGGAAGTGCAGGCCATACGTATCGCCGACATTTAATTACCGTCGGATACAGTATATGCGACTACCGTGGTAGGCACGCGTGATTTTATTACCCATTGCGCGATTCAGGTGCGCATCCTGCCGGTTCGTAGAATCACCAGGATGCGTTGGATCCGACAGCATGGCAACACAACATTTCCACTTTCTTCTCCCTCTTTGCGCGTCCTTCTCGCTTCGCGACCGAAGCAAAGCGGTCTCTCTCTCTTTCTCTCTCTCTCTCCTGAAACAACGCCCGCGGCGTCACGAGCGCTCATTTTGTCTCTTTTATCGGGGTCTAGCCTTCCGACGGCACGATGGAATTGATATTCCGGAGCGTAAGAGGCGATTTAAACACCGGAAGCGCACGGTACAACTCGCGCCGATCTCGGACGATAACACGAACATTTCTGGAATCGCATGGACATTCTAATTTGTCGACGATTGAGAAAATCGCTGTAACGGCGATCGCGCGTAATAAACCGTAATGGGGGGAAGGGGGGAGAAGGGAGAGCAATTTAAACCTGTGTGTACTCGCCCTACCGTGAATCGATTGATGTAAGACGAATAGGAGTAAATGGCATTCGAGTTAATAACTACTAAATCCGATGACGAGAAAGAATGAGAATAAATCTCACAGTGGTCGGCGTGAAAAACCACCCTGAAACGGACCGCGAACACTACCGAAGATTTAGCACCCTAATGTTTCTCTTATTCCCCTTTTTACGCCGGTTCCGCGATTCTTACGGCATCATTTCATCATTGTGTTATATTTCGTAATCGTGGTGGCGATATCTGGAAGCTTCCCGCGCAAACAAACGAGCGAATGTCGGTGGAAGATATTCCGGTTAACGTTATTGAATTTGGTTTGCAGAAGTGCACATTACTCGGCTGATACGGTGAAATGGTGATGTTTCCTTTTTCGAAAGATTGCGCCCGCGTTCTTTCCGGCATCGCATCCGATAAACTCCTCCGAGATCAGGGAAAAGATCGTCGCGCGAGCATGCACACCTACAACGCGCGACAAACGCGAACGTCGCCCGTCCTCTCCCGTCGTCGGCGATGTATTCATAAGCCGGCGCGTTTAATTTCCATAAAAATAATTTCGCGGGGCGCATAATGAACATCACGCTCGTACGCTTGTGACTCCGTTATTAAGTCCTCGATAGAAAGCGAACCGATAAAGAGATACCGGTCTCTCCTATTTGCTCGTAGTGCTGGATGTCCTACGCTCGCGCGTTGGATCACAGGTAATAAGTCGAGCAGGCCCCGCGGGAAAACATTGTCAGTGTAATGCGCGCCGGCGTGTAGTAACGCACGTGATCGCGACACTCGGTTACGGTATAATGCGAGCTTCATTAACGGGATCACAAAAGGTATCTCGCGCGGATTTTGACCAGCGCGGAGAGATCGCTCGCGAGCGATAGGCCGTCGATGAAACCGCCGGCGGGCGCAGGATTTAATCCTTTCTCTCGTTCGTGCGTGCGCGCCTACAGAGGCCGGTGTTGCCAACGCCATGGCGAAGCGTGAAACCCTTGAACTTCTGGTGCACGCCGTCTAGTATAGTGATTACCGGAGGCGGCAAAATACACCGCCGGCTACGATCGTCTGGTGCGTAATTTCCAGCGTGCGAGCTACTTTGTGCGCCGACTCATTCGTTTCCGCTCCACTTGTTAGACCGAATAACGCATTTTCCAAAGGAGTCCGAGCAGAGACGTCTGCAGGTACACACGATATGTCCTCGCATCTTGTTCAATTTTGCATGGTTCGTTTGTGACGCCGGTTGGATAGGAAGGAACGATTCGGCCGTGGAATTTTCACGAATAGGATATCGATATGAAGGACGATAGTACGATGATACACGAAGATTTCTTATCCGTCTTAAGTCCCAACTCCTTGAGGCAAGACTAATTAATTAAGAATTCAGAATCCACATCGGAGACAATTTTGTACGATAGATCAAACTGTATCAATCGGATTTGTATGTTGTCCAACGAATACTCGGAATCTCTTGACCTGCATTTATAATTCTTTGAGCTCTCTCTTAAGTTTAATTTAACTCCTCTCGTCTTAACTGCACTCAATTGTTCCTTTAAATTGTATTCAACGTTTGTGCCGCTCGGTACGGCTTCTCTAATTTCCATTGTTATGCGTACCAAAGAGTTTTCTTACCTGTTAACGAATGAAAGTGATAACGATAATAATAATGAGAATAATAATAATCCGAATGTTGATATTCATTTTCATCGTGACGGGAAGCGCGTTGCGACCGGGCCGACTGTTTCGCGGGGAGCTGCGATTTTTGTTGCCGTGAGAGCCATGCTAACGCTGCACAAAATCGACATTCGGCGATCGCGAAATCAGTTCGCGAGCCGGCACGGACGAGGAATCGTGTGCTCGGAGGTCCGGATTTTTCTCCCGATATCTCCGTCGAGTCCGTGTACTGTTGTGTTGCGCGTCGGAGAATCGAACGGTAACGCGAGCGACCGTTTCGCGGATACGGTGGCGAGGGCCATTCCACACAACCAGGGTGAGACCGATGCTAGCGGAGTGGAAAGGGGGGGNAAAAAAGGCGCGTATCTTCCGAGTCCGATCGTGCCTCTCACCTTGCCGCGGGGCGCACTCGAATCTATAAGCGCCGAGAGAGTTCTCTCGCTCGGTATCGAGGTATAACGGTGATCGCACGAACTCACGATTTCCATATTTCACCGGCGAGTCAATGGTGTATCCAACGTTTGATTTACGTAGTCCCAGGCCGCGCGTGATCGATGAATCTTTTCCCCGGCGATTAAACGTAAATTACGCCGGCTACGAAATCGTTATCGGGTCCGGCGATCGACTCCTCTCCGCGCCGGTGCAAGAATTAATTTGCTCGACAATCCGACGAGATGGTGAAGGAGGGTGGGGAGGGGGGGGGGNGGGGGGGGGGGGGGGCGACGAGGAAGATCGGTTTAATCGCGGAGGATACCTGACGTCGCGAATTCGATCTATCGCCGACCGACGAGATAATAATCGGCCGGTCGTGGAGGACTCTATTTTAATTACGGCACTCTGCCGATCATCCTCTTTCCTTCCCGTTCGCCTCTCATCGACAACTCTTAGATCCTACCTCAGACCATGAGTCAGTTTTTCACGACTGGTTGATGTATGTATTACGCATATCGGAAATGAATTTACGCACATGTCTACGGAGAGCTGATAAAACGTTCCATGGCGCCCCGATATAAAAACCTTTTCTCTCCCACGTATAAAGTTCTTGAACGTTGAACTTTTTAAAAACACGAGATTCTTTCCTGAAACGGCGATCTGTAAAAGAGAAAAAGTAAGAGGGACAGGCAGATGGACAAACAGGCAAGGGAAAACATAGTGAACAGCACGAATTTCCGGTTTTATATCTCTTTCTCGCGGAAAACTTGTATTTTTTTCCATTCATATTTTACCATCGATTAACCATTTTTCATGCTTACATCCTTACGGCTCTAAGAAGCTGCCGCCCGCACGTCTTGCCCCCGTCTCTCCGTCAATCATTGCCGACGTAACTCTCGTATGCGCTATCCGCACGTGACTCGATCGGAGAAAGTGTGCAGATAATGACACTCGGCCGCACACGTCCGCGCTCACCTACCGGAGCTCACCAGTTTGTTCCTCTTCTCCTCCTTCTTCTAATATTACTACCGCTATCGCTACCATATGCAACGTGCGAAGCACAACTGGTTCGCATAATTACCAAATCTTTTCAAAATCATCTTGTTAAATTATAAATCTTATAATAAATTATAAATGAAACCGCGACGCTTTTTCCGCTATGTCCTACCTGTCCGACAGAAGGGAGAATACCTTTTGCAGGAATATGTTCTTTCTGTAAAAGAAACAAAAGCATAACCCGTTTCGATATCTACAGTGTTCTACAGAACGTGTTCTACGACGCGTTTCCACAGAAGCTAACGCGTGCGCGAAAACGAAAGCACCGCGTCTTTCTCGTTCGATTTCTTCCGTTGCGCCATTCGTTGCGTCACGGATTTTCGCTCCATCGGCGGGGCGATTTAACATTGCAATTAGCTCCGGCGAGAGGGAGAGAGAGAGAGAGAGAAGGAATGAGCGTACACGTGCACCGAGTTACGCTCTCGCCGCAGTGACGGAGAAAGTGAAAATAATTTCTTCATCGCCCCTTTCGTCGTGGTCTGCCGGCATCAGATAGCAGCGTGGTTAGTTAGACGTCGCCGTGGCTGTCCACCGCGAGCTGAAGACCTCCGTCGGCTCTCTTCATTAGTACGGCGGCAAGTTCAAGGCCGGCACGTTCCAAACAGGGAGACGCAGAGGGGAGGAGGGGGAACAGAGAAAGAGAGATGGTGAACATTCCTCTATTTAAGCTATCATCGTCATCAGCAGCAGCATCGTCATCATAATCGTCGTTGTCGTCGTCATCATTACCATAATCATCATCAATATCTCGAAAATCCCCGATGCCGCCGCAAGTCGTCACCCATTTATGCACGCCAATCACGCGTGAGAACCCGCGGTCTTCAGTGCGCGCGGTCCACCGCGGAAGAGAAATCTCCTGTGACCCCCGCGAGTTCTCCCAACGGCGAAGCAGAACCAGACAACCGGCCGACCCCTCGATTCCGCTGTCGTAAATCATGCACACAGACGTTACTTCGCTCCTCGTTATTGCGTGCGAGCCACCGACTGAACAAAATGAAATTCGATTCACATCTATATACTCTATCTTAAATATCTATCTTTGCATAAAACATGTTTGAACATTGGTAGAAAATGTGAGGGAAATAATTACAAAAGGAAAGAAGAACGGTGAAGATATTATTAAATATCCTAACTAACAACGATTTCGCGCGCGAAATCGATGAAATGTATGTAGGCCAATGTTTTGCAGCGTGAAAAATGAAAGAAAAACAGCGGATCATGAAGACGACGAGAGCGATATTCGGGATATATAAATTTGGCTGCGAATCAAACTTGTGTCACAGTTACGAGAGAAGGTAGTGCAAAAATGAATATATGCCAAGAACAGAGGCAAGTGAAAATCCCGAAAAACGTCTCGTGCGGCTTAGCGTTATTATCGGTATTTTCGTAATCACGTATATCCCGAGAGAGGAGGTTTTCTTCGAATCAAACCAGGCCTTGGTGAGGGGAATGACGAAATTATACCCGGGGATTCTCTTTCGCGCCTCAAGCTTCGTTATCTCTGACATATCGCGACGCGATCGCGCTCGCTCCTTCGCGGACGGCTCGATTGCACGGTGTAATCGTCGCGGAAGGAATCAATCAGCGCATTGTAATAGACATAATTCGCGTAACTCAATAAGCCCGGCAGCGTTGATTGAGTAGTAACCCGGGGACATTTATTAGACCGGCGCTTTGCATAAACGCATTTTTCCGCCCGACGCGTCGAGAGTGCAACTTAACGACCCACCTAGCCGCTGCTATGCCCCATCATCATATGCTATATGTAATAACTCTCTCTCTCTCTTTCTCCTAGCACGACATGGCGCAGCGCGTACACGGCGGCGGCATGCACAATATAGAGCACCTCCACTCCTCTCTCTCTCTCTCTCTCTCTAGTCATCAGCTAGATCCGCGGCACGTAGGCCGACTTTAAGGCTCAATTATTTATGTAGCCGAGATTCGCCGCTGATTCGCCCATACGATGATTACGCCAATCATAATAGGCCCCAGTTGAGGCTCGACATTGTGATTGGGCCCGCCGCGGGATCGGGCTAACTACCCGCAGAAATCAAGCAAAATAGAAACAAGACCGGTCCTCAATCACGTATAATTGTACTCCGTCTGTTCTACGCCGCTGATATACCCCACCTTGATACTTATATTTAGCGAAGCACAATTTTCCTCTCGGTATAACTCGCCTCCTGCGTGTCTGTTACTCCGATCGGTCGGTCAGCCTCCAGTGGCCTCCCCTCGTTATTTTCTTTATTTATAGTCATATTCGCTGAAATGCCGCGTATCATCTCAACGTGCGCCGATACGAGGCCCTGCATAAAGTCCGAGACGAGATCTCTAACGTAAACACGCTTATCCGCGAAATCGATCGTAAAATATCCTGTTATTATCGGGGTATGCTACCGTCCGTGACGCACCGATCGCGGGCCTCTACACTCCGTCGAAAGACCGGTAAACATTTAGCTCGTAACAATTTTGTAACGACCCGCAGAAACTACGGGGTGAGGAGATACTACATCGTCGACGTCTTTTTATTAGACACGCGTATTGCTCTCGTGAACTCTCGCGCGGTGGAAAAAAGCCAAGTGGCTTTCGTTACCGCTCAGAGAAGTGCGTTAAGTATACTTGACGAATACTCCGAACGAGATCCCTCGTGGGTGTTTAACGAAGGAACGATGGTGGGTGAAACCGCAGACACTTGACGACTTATCCGCCCGGCTTTATCCTTGACGATTTACCTCCGATCACCCGCGCTAACCAATGGGAGAATGAACAGCCGATAAATAGGCACGGTCGCAACGCGACATATATACGCGCGAGGTCAAAGCCCATATTTATACTCCGGTCACTTAGCACCGTCGGGGAGCCTCGGCGGCCTCGCGCGACCGCGGATTCACACCAAGTATAGCATTGCCCGTGGACCAAGTCGACCGTGGTAGGATCTCCCGCGCGAACGTCGGCGCTAGTAAGAGACGCCGTTGCAGGTTTTTGGTGGGGGACCTTGACCGAGTGACGTGCAACCGCACGAGCGAGCAGGTAGGAAGAAGGAGAAGAGAAGGAAAGACAGAGAGAGAGAGGGGGAAGGAGAGAGAAAGAAAACATGCAGTATAGCACAACAGGCGATGCGAACGACTGGACTCTGCTAGTAGCAATGGCATCGATCGTACCCGTGCCAGGTATCGAATACTCGACACGCGTGTTTTTTGTCATTCGTCAATGTCAATCTGACATGTGAAATATCAATCGAACGGCAATATGCCGTGAAATGATCGTAAGTTCACTCAATAAAAGTGCTCGACGAACATCGGGACATTGATAACGTTAGTCAAATTGTCGGACATGTTGTGGCGATATCGACCCGCAAGGGATAGACGTTTTGTACCGCGATCGTTTGCATATTTCATGAAAAAAAAAAAAAAAAAAAGTGTAATTTGTGTACTCACTCGGGCGATTTTATCAGCCGTCCGTCTTCTTTTCCAGATAAGAATAGCGCTCCACGTCGGCTAACTTAACACCAAGAGGACTCGTCGTCATTTCGACAAATACGATTAGCACTCTCTTGTTATTCGCGGATTACCTGGGCCTAAACAATGGGGACCGTTCACTGACGCGCGTTCGAGCTAAGAATCGGCTCTCGAGTACCATCGGCGTTCCCCGGCGCGTGCACACCTTCAAGTCGCTCTGTAGCTCCGTGCCGCGTCCGTCCGCTCGCCCGTCCGTCCGTCCGTCCGTGCCTACTCTCCTGCCTATCTCTGTCGGGCCCGGTGGGATAAGACGGTGGAAGGAGTAGTAAGCGGCCTACGCAGTTTCAAGCTGGGCCCCAGCTTTTATTAGTTCTTCGGCGCTCGGCGGAGAACGAACGGAACGAGCGGCGAGTGCGTGGCGGCGCGTCCGATCCAGACGCGCGAGAAAAAATTCTCGATTCGCGCGAAATACGTCGAGAAAGTAATCGGGGTATTGCTTTCAACGACGACGAGGTGTCGGTTGGATCGCGAAAAGGTCAAACGAGAGAGCGGTTTCGAAAGATCTCGCGATACCGAGTGATTCCCGAATATATCCGGCAGTGCGAAAAAATTTCGAAGTTGGTTTGTTGGTTTTGCTTCGTTTCTCGAGTGTCTCGGTTTTGGGTGTTTCGCCGATATCGGAAAAGTGTCGGGCACAGCGCTGAATCGGAGCGAGGAAGAAACGGGCGAGGATCGTCGATAATCGGTGAAGTTGGTCGACCCTTCCGTGTATCGTTTCCATGGATTTGCGGTCCAGGCAGTGACAGTGACAGTTATCAAACGTGAAAGTGTTTTACTTCGGAAAAGATACAACATAATCTCTCTAATAAAAAAAGAGAGGCTCCCGTAAAGGATCTCACTCCTCTCGCCGCTCTCGGTTCTATTCGGAGAATAGAATACCTGACGAGCCGTACCCTTAGAGAGCATACCAGATATCTAAACGATCGGAATGCTACTGTGTCAGTGAAGGTAAATCGATTAGTAGTGAACATATATCCGCGGCGACGATGGTGATGACGGTGACGATCGCGACGGCGATGTATTAGTACGAATAGGCGCGCTAAGATCGTCTCGCCAGCTCGGCTGGATTACACGCGCGGACTCTAATCGAAAGGGAAACGGTAGAACGTCTTCGGTAGGTCGGCTCTCCGCCGTGTTCGCGGAGCTGAATAGATTATAGACGTCGCGCGAGTTATTTCGCGCGCAGATTGGATCTGCGGCGGCCGCTCGCTCGGCCGGGCAAACCAGAAATCCAACGGAAGGGTAATATCCCATTAACTGAAAGATCAATTAACTCGCGTTAACGGACACTTTAATCACCGGTGTGCAGCTAAGGCGGCTCTTTCTCTCTCCTTTTCTTTCTCTCGTGGCGAATCTAGGCGTTTAATCTGCCCGCTCGGAGATCGAGTCGACCGATCATGCGCTCCTCGCTCGCTATGGGGAGCAATCGCGATACGAGGCGGTATGAGAGCGGGATATCGGCGTCCGCGCCTATTATTCATTGATGCGGTCACATTAACGACGCGCCAACGTCGTTCGCGCGGATCAGACCGCGAATAAACATTTATGGAAATCGACAGCTCCTCTCGGATACCTCCCTGGCGAATCCCCCTTGATTAGGCGAGCCTGGCGAATTAATACGCCGGCAGATTTACGACCGCGAATTACACGGCGAATCGAGTTAACGCCACCCTAACCACCCACCGTCCTCCTACATGTCGGACATTGAGTCCTTTCGACGGAAAATCGCGACGGAACGACATTTCGCTGTCTTCGACGGGCCAGTTGACGCCTCCCTTCGCCCCCGCGCGGGATAATCTCATTCATTTATTTTCAAATGATATCGGCACGCGAATCGCCCGGCAAAGTCGATCGCCACCTTTCCTCTCGCCCACTCGCGCCGCCACGGCTTGTCTCTCGCCTGTCCGCGCTCGCGAAGATGAAGATCGCGCTCATCCTCGAGCGGAGGTGCAAGTTCGCTGAATCCCTCCGGGTTTATCACGCGTTTCAGCGACCGCCTGGTTGCGTGGCGATGATAAAGACGCGCGGGTGTGTTGTAATAAAGAGGACGGGCGCGAATGTACTCGAGACGGTGCAACGATAAGCGGCGGGATGTACCGAGGGGGAACTTTCGGCCTTGATATGTACGAAGTGTGTCAGTGTTACTCGTGCGAGCGAAAGAAAGAGAGGGGGAGAGAGGAAAGAGAAGAAGAACGCCGCTTTCGATGGGAATCCATTCACCATAATGCATCCGCGTAACGTGACCCTTGCGGCGTCCAGATTTCTCTTCAGCCCGCGGGATAAGCGATGGTCGGTCTCGCATAATCGAGTCGAGAGAGGGGACGTGCGCGCGATGTAACCAGTTCCTGTGCAAATAAAGCGATCGCTCTTTACTTTTTTTTCCTTCGCCTCACGAGTCACCGCCGCGACTCGCGATTTCCATTTCTGGCGTCTGCGTCATGCTCGTCGCTGCATGCAAACCGCGTCGCGCACTCGACCTGCTCTATTAGTTTTTAGTCATATTTCCGTATTGGCTAGAGCGATATATACATACATACATACATACATACATACATACATATATACATATATACTAACGGTTTTCTCTGTCTCTCTTCTTCTAGAAAGGAGAAACAATTAGAATTCATGGAATAAAAACTCAACTTTAGAATTATGTAAAGAAAGGAAAAACAACATGGGACGATAAAATAACTACAAGGAAAACAAGGTAGAAATAAGAGAACCACGTGGAAAAACAGAGATGGGGGAAAATTCGAGTGTCGCAATATTAAGAGTAACAAAATATCAATAATAAAAAAATATTTCTTTTTCTCATTCTCTCCATCTCTCTTCCTGTTCGACGAATATTATTGCTCTTTCGAAATTGAGGATAGATAAATTAACGTTTGCTTGACTACCATCGTAGCGATCCATGAAATAATATCTGATAAATCTCGGAGTTACTTAACATGGAACGTAAGAAACTGAAAGCAAATTAAGAGAAATCGCCGTTTCCAACCCGTGTTTATATGATAAACAGGCCAATATCACTCCACGGCGGAGGAGTTTATCGCTTGCGTCTTCAAAATTTCGATAGGTGAAACCCTAATCTTTTTACGGGCACGTGGAAATAATAATTTATGATAATTCCACGGTATCTGGCTTCTCAAACAGCAAATAGTATTTTTTAGCACCGTTCTGACACGAATACCGAAAATTAATTAATATTCTAATCGATACTGATAACGTAATAGCAGAGACAGAATTTCAATATCGTCTCATTTTTGAAAATCCTCCTCTCGAACGCAAAAAAAATAGTAATCGTTACTTCGGAAACAGCGCGATGATGCTACTATGACGGTTACGATAATCGGTTGATTACGCCAAACGGTGTCCTCCGTCCCCATTTTTTCCCCCCGCCCTTTTCTAATCACGTTGCTATGGTGTTCGCATAATTTTATCGAACCTTGACGTGGCCTTGACAATGATATCTGTTCGAAAATGCGTGCAGACTTCGGCTTAAGGGGGAAGAATAACGAAGTAAAAGGGGAACGGATGTATTGTCAATTTTCTCGCACATAAACACCCTACATCCACCCCCGAGGGCACGGATGCTAGTTCATGTACTTGACAGTTCAACAACGATCTTCTAACAGCGGTCCAAATCCAAAATCTGTTTAGTGAACGCAAATACTTTGCACCTTTGAAGTTCGCCGAATAGGTTCTTTACGTCTGAGTGCGGAGGAGGGAGATAAAGAGAAAGAGAGAGAAAGAGAGAGAGAGGGAAAGATGCTACAGCCAATTTTATTATCGGCTCTAAACATACACCACGTCAATAAAAGTCAATGAAAAAGGTGCTAAATGTTTTGCGCGCGAAACGGGAGTGTTTATTGCGTCCCGGTATCCTTTTGCGCTCTCTCTCTCTCTCTCTCTATTTATCTACCTATCTATCTATCTCTATCTCTCTCTCAAACGCGCACACGCTAGAGAGTAGCATTGTATACTCGGCACAATGTGGTTTTATTGTTAAGTATGGAAAGGGGGAGACGAAAATAATTCTAAATCTTTTTTCGCGCTATATTGCTCCGTAAAAAAGTGTGAATCTTAGATATCTCGAAAAAAAAAAATGTTGGACCGATAGAAAGATATGGCGGAATATTGCCAGGCTTTTTCGTGCGCATTTGTATCGTTCTCTCTTTTTACTGTTATTCCTATCACGCGAGGTTCTGTTCTGTCTATCTAACACGCGAAAGAACGTATTCGACCAGATCTTTTGTCGCAATAGCCGTCGCTAATGGCTGGCGACGTCGAGGACACGACGTGAAATCACGACGGAATTCGTAACACCGAATGTGCGCTGGCACACGCACCGACAGAGGCTACATTTTTCTTATTTACTCCCGCTCGCTGTTATGCAACATCAGGAAGCGGCAAATAACACGTATTAAAAGAACTTACAAGCGTCACGCGCCGCGCGCGAGCGCGCATATGCATGTGCCACGTTCGATAATTTCGTTGAATATTCTCTCGACATGCACCGTCGTTGATACCAAGAAGGCCGATAAAAAAAAATATCGAGTTCTGTTCTAACGATTTTTTATTTGACAAACATTTGGATGTGTTGTTGCTTCGAATGTCAGGTGGAATGAATCGTTTTGCACGTATAAAAAGAAGAACACTTCGGAACTTCGGATAATGCGCAATGCGAAACGTTCTTTTCACGCGGTCCCGCGACATTCGTCGGTTCCCATGGACAATTTTAATTCCCGACTTCCTCTTCGCAACGAAGGAGAAAGAGAAAAATAAATGTCCGGCTGGTGGAATGCGCACGGGACGGAATTAAATTCGCAGGGATACAGCACGGTGTCTCCACTCGCGGCATCCTTATCCCTCACTTTACTGTTATCCGAGCGCCGTGTCGGGTAACGAAGGGCGCATTCGACCGGTCCGAACGAAATCTCAGCGATCGTTGCCGATTTCTTTTTGCCCTCTCTTCACCTCTCGAATCGAACTGAAAGCGGCCCGCGATTAGGCGACTAGAAGGGGGAATTGGGGACGCGTGGGCGTCGATGCGAATTCGGCTCGTCGTAAACTCTTGCGAAAAAAAATATGTTAACGTCAGTTTTATACAGCGAGGTCCCCCACGCGACACGCAGCGAGGCCACGGGGCGCACGACGGGCTTCACTGAGTTTGGGGACCCTCTTCGCCAAATATGGTTACTGAGCCGCCTGAGAGAGTGTCTTAATCCCCGGATCGCGAATTATCCCATTTAAAGCTGGCGTCTCCGCCTTACTCCCTCGCGCTCTTCCGCTTGGCTCTAATAAAGTCGTTGATTGACGGCTCGTCCTCGAGTAACACCGCGTGTCACACGTGCGAAAATTCGCCCAAACGACGTGTCATTCCGTCTCGATGTCCTTGAGAGATGAAGGCGTACGGGTCACCTTTATTTGCTTCAAGGGCGAATGAAATGCCGACCGCGAGTAGACAAAAGCGCGCGATGAATGTTAATTCTCCTAACAGCACCTCTGCCGAAGTAAATCACGCGGTTAACAATTCCTTCGACGTGCTCGAAGGTGAGCGTTCCTAAGATAAAACTGTTATCTTGAGGATTTTGAGGAGAGAACAGAAGACTTTATGTGAACAGAATTATAAGGTGAACGAAATAATGAGATGCGTTTGCCCCTTGCATCTTTCGGGCACGTGTACATTAGCTGCGTGCGGCGATATATCTGCAAAAATTGCATTGAAGGTCAGCGCCCTTCGAGGAAAAAGAGGATGTTGTTTTTCTGCGTGAAAAACATGTGGCGAAGTAAAGAACATCTAATGATAATCAGTAGTCTCGTGGCTGACTGTCGCGTCAGCGATATTTTTAGAATTGTTTTTATCCTCACAAATCGACCTTGTCATTTTTATACACGCACGAGAAGTGCCAGGGGATTGATTGCTTTATTGATTCACGCAGTTTATCAAATTCACACGAACACATTGTGTACCACGGCGGCCGTATAAATAATGCGCGACGTATATCTACCGCTTCCGATAGTTTTAATGCGAAAATTAACGCTGACTTTCAACGAATATCGAACAATTTCTGCTATTCGAAGAATTTCGCACTACATGGCGCGTCATTTGTGAATTACTACTGAATCGGGAATTAATTAAAATCAAGTCGTCGTTGTTATTTTCGTCATCGTCGTTGTAGCCTCGGGCTGGCGACGCGATGCTTTGAAGCTACAGGTTCTATGAAATTTAAATTAGGTGTCGTTGCGTTTAGATGGTTATGTTGATACGGAGGTAAAGCGCGGCGGCGCTCCGTGCCCAGAATCCACCGGATTACCGGCACCGTAATTACGATAACGCTTAATGCGGCCGAATGTGCGGGAAAAGCAAGCGCGGAACCTTATCGCACAATCGCTCCCATTAGCGAGGTCCCATCAGCGTGAATCCTTTGCCGATATTATACGTCGTCATCGTCATCGCTGTCACTGTCATTATATCGTATCTCTGGCATCCCATCTGCTCGCTCTGACGACAAAGAGAACCATTATCACTCGTTGCGTTTATCATCATCTACCACAGTTGGCATGCCGCTGGTATAGACACGTCACCGGGAACGCACGATCGCTATCGCTTCTCTTTTTCTCGCGTTTGCGCATACACACTCGCGCGTGGTATGAAGTGTATCGTAAGCGCTTTCGTACGACGAGAAATAATCCTCGGATGATTGCGAGAAAAATGGAGAAAATCCGACAAAGCTCGTACGCGAAATCGATACCGGCCGGACTCGCGGCGATCATCTTGCCGAACGTGATGCTCTCGCGCTTTTCCGTCTGTTCAATTGTTGCCGATTATCGACGAGACGATCCACCTCGAAACCCGTGAAACTTTTAATTCCCGATGCTTTGACAACTTACGCCACTTTCGAACGTGAGTCGGTTTGTTTACTCGATACTTCCGAAGAGAATCGTATTTCTCGCGTGCCGGCGAAACACTGCTTTTTAAACGAATCGCTGCGTCTCAGGCACGAAAAATGCGCGTATAATTGGAATGGGATTGAAAATACTATAAAAGAAAGGAAGTTAACACGTTATCCCTATTCAGGGAAAGATTTCAGATTTCAAGAGCACAGCTTTGCTTGGCTTACAGGTTGGTGATCGAGTGCTCTCGTAAGAAAGGGGAAGGGTTGGAAAGCGAAAGTTAAAAACTAGAACAAGTTCAGGTTCGAGTTTGCAATTGAAAGGGGGTAGCGAAAAGATTAAACACCGGAACGGAGAGGGTACGATCCGGGCGAGCGAAACGGTGCGGTCTGTGTGTGCCGGTCGTGTGGCATGAACGGTCGGAATTAAAAAGGGGAAGATGCTGACAATACAGCGCTCGGACTCGTTGAGAAGGGGAGAAGGCTGCAACCCTTCCAGCACGCATTTGCTAGACCCCGTCATATCCGGGGCTTCCGTCACCGTGTGGAAGCCCGCCGAAAGAAGCGTCTCCTTCAATCGAGACGTCCACGTGAAGAGGATCGGTGAGTCCAGGCAAAATCACACCATGCATACTATCCTGACAATATCACGACATATCCTGCATATGCGTATAATTACATATCGATATAGCGGAGCGAGAGAGAAATGTTACGTTGCTTGATTTCTCCAAATTCATGGGTCTCGCGAAAGAGGGAGAAACATCCCGCTAGCCCCTCGGAATTCGCATGCTTAATATTTTTTCCTTCGGTCATTGTCATTGAAATCAATTTAATCGCGATGCTCTTGTCCCCCCATTTTCCATGTGATTGTCGGATCTGAATCGTCATCGAAAATCGCGATCTACACGCGGAAACGTGGAATCAGATAAAGTCCACAATATAACATTTGTTTCGGTAGTCTTCGGTGAAAATAATTCGGCCTTCGTAAACCTCGGCCTGACTATATCGCGTCCACCTGCGACGGCCCAGGTACCGTTTGCCGAATTAAAATCTGATAAACTCGACTTTACGCGACGACGATCTTCCAGTACGATATGCATACGCGGCCGGAATTTAATATACGTCGCCGCTGTAAAGGCACGCACGCGCGTGTACGCACGGCAAGAGAGATAGAGAGAGAGAGAGGGAGAGGAGATCGCGCAAAAGGATTTTACCTCGTGATGCCGCGATGTCTTGCGTTTCAGAAAAAATTACGGGCCGGCCCTAGAGCGATTCCAGATTGTGGAAATTATTCGCGGCGATTCCTCTCTTCTCTTCACTCCTCATATCTCTCCTTCTCGCTCTCTCTTTCACGAGATCTCTCGTCTCACGGCTGGACGTGATCGCCGCTTCCGAGAAGCGTGCCGGCCGGGAAATTATGCACTCTGTCGTGCGAAATTCCGTTGAAGAACGCGATGTGACGTGCATCGCACTTAATCTCGTCAAGACGAGAACGCGAGGCGGGGTGAGAGAGGACTCGCGAATTTCTCTCAAAGTAGGAGTTCAATCGGATGATTTGCGTTTCAAACCGTCAAAATAACAAGCAACGCTGCGACCTCGCCGAACTCCGCGTTTAATTCGCTCCACGGTGCAATTTGTGTCTAACTTTTGCATATGCGCTGACCGACGTCAGTGTATAACATACTTAATCATGAGCTCGTCGCAAAACTAACGGTACGAAGTTAATTCATTGCGCTATATTTGATCGACTCACTGTCGCCTTGCGTGTTATCTAATATGCTGTTCTGACATTAATTATTCGCGACATTAATCGACGCTTACGTCGTTCGTGTAACCATAACCTTAAGTCGACTCTCTCTCTCTCTCTTTCTCTCTCTTTCTTTCTCTCTCTCTCTCTCTCCTCCTTCTTTGCTCTCCCCACGGAGCATGTGGCGGCTACGTCGTGACCTTGATAGGGTCAAGGTCGGCGAGTTGTTGCCATCTTAGATCCGAGGAGAGACGATTTCATTGAAAGGGCGCGTGCCCACGTCAGTTCTCGCGATTCTCATTAATGCGATATGTGGGATTGTATTGGTATTGGTGTGTGCTGCCAGGACTCATCCTTTCTATTACTAGCTAATTATTAATAGTATTATTAATTGCCCTCCCCTCAGCCTATCTTATATGCTACGCGAAGCAAGCGATGATTTGACGTTCCTCCGCTCCGAGCTTCGCCAACAGCTTCGTTGAATTTTCACCGCGCGTCAGAGCCTCTCGCTACGAAAGTTACGTGAGATCCACTTGAAATTAATCAAGAATAACGTTCCGCCGTCTGTTTGTAGTCTTTAAGATCGAGCCTAATCGTAAGACCACGATTAAAGGTACACTTTCAGATCCGGCGAAGGACGCATCTCGTCCCGGCTGCGTTGCGTCTCACGATATATTCCATATAATCTAGCTATAATTAGACTTAAGAGTGAACTAAGGATGAGATTATCGGGCGAAAAAATCGCACGGCCGATTAAGCCTCCAAGCCGCTGAGACGCGCGGTCGCAATTTTACGCTGGGTCACGTAGATACGTTAAAAGAGGTATACCGAGATCGGAACGCGAGCTTCTATCTTATTTACGCACAGTTTCATGAAAGGAACTTAATATGCCACACACCGCGGCCGTACGCCCAAGTACGGGATAAACTCGGCAGATAAAGTTCAACGAACCAAGTCGCAAGTTATATACACTTCCACATCGTCAGCCTCCCCGTCTCGAATTGATATTAATTCCTGCTCCCAATTTCCGGCTCGCTCATCCGAAAGGAAAAAAAAACGTTCGCACGAAATATTCGACGGGCCGGACGCGCTCTTATGTCAATAGCGTAATATAACGTGCTTCCCTGAAACACGGGCGCGGAAATTAATGGCTACTAAACCCCGCGGCATCTATCTCGGAAGTCTCGACTGTTTGTTTGATTTTACGTTCGCCATCCGCGGATTGGCTCTTTACGATCACGAGCACTCCGCTGTATATACCGGATTACTTCAGAACGCAATCTACGTGTATATTGCTTACAATATTAAATCTACGTGTATGTTGCTTACAATATTAAAGGAAGGTTCGAAGTGTGTGGGATGATTTTTTTTTAAGACACCGAGAGGGAATACCGAGGGAGAGGAATTGCTTTTTATCGTGAGGTTCGTGAAATTTTCGGTATCAAATATATATCAGAGGCCATAACGAACCGGCATGCTATAAGCCGAAGTCTCTCATTCGATATAATAGCAAAATCCACCTCAGGCATATACTTTCCTGCTTAAAGATAGAAACAATTCGAGTCAATGTTGAATAGCACGGCTGTCTGTTTGCGCGTCCGAATCTTATTTAATGATAGAAACGTTTCTTTCTTCGCGATCCTACTTCCAAATTTGAGGGGATACAAATGAGGAAGCATCTCGAGCGACAAGGTCGAATGTCAACGCTGCGATCGGACAAGGTCGACATACCTATTCACTTCTTCCATTAATTTTTTGCGGTGACGATAAAAACGTGCACTTCACTCGGCGCGATTAGCCACGAAATCACAATAATCGACTTATGCCGAAGGAGTATAATTGAATTCACCAATTTATCATCGTACATTAGCTGAAGATTGCTACTTTGGTCGACAACTTGATCGGAAGTGATTTTTGTATCCGAGAAATGTTCTCACCGATTAGCAATTATTTGTCTAATACGTCGCATGATTTTGCGCATGTAATAACTCTATCAAGCGACTCTATCACGAACTTTTTACTTTTTTTCAGTGTCGCATCAAAGGAGCCACTCAGAAATTTATGCAAAATTGCGTTGCTAAACATTTATTTCACTACCTAAATAATAAATGTTAGTTTGAAACAAGATTGAGGTAGGCATGTGCACGCGATATCACAAATACGAAAATATTATTTTGTAATTATTGAGATTATTTCGTCAAACCGAACTGCGACCCTTTTCGTGCAGAATCGATAAATCGGTAAAAACGACACTCAAAACAGGGAAGCCTCATCCATTATTTTCCCGATACATCCTGCGACTCTCATTTAAATACGGAACATTCACCTGCAAACATTTCCCCCGCAGCAATTCCTCCGCGTTAATATTGCTTCAATTCTTTCAATTATATTGCACGTTAATTGATTCGTCAACGTCCTGCCTTTCCTTATCGATCAAAGGATCGAATGACACGTCCAAACGAATGCAGCATTCTCTTTGCTATTATATTGTTCTAAAATCTTGGCTCAGTCGGCAATCCCAATAGCAGTCGTATTCCTTATTACAACGCGGCGAATATATTTCATATTATATATATTTCATATTACAGCCCTTCCTTTCTATCTTTCTTTTCTCTGGTCTGTCTTTCTCTTTTTCTCCTTTCCCTTTTCATCGTCAATGTGGGCGGTCCCGGAGAGTCAACCTAGTTAGGTCCAGCATTGCGTTCGCGTATGTACTTCGTCCAAGCTTGTTAAAGATCCCTTGTGTCGTCCGCATTATCCCGTCTGCCAGTATTTCCTGAATCGTCGCGTGCTCCGCGACGACCGGGACTTTAACTCGCATTGGTGCGCGATTTTATAGATACGTGTGTATGTAACGAGGTGTAATGTAGCCCGCAATCGCGCCGCGATCTTCGCTAGATCTCTAATGGACACCACACGGAAATCTGCTCCGCGCACTCACTTTGTGAGACCGAGAGGGGCGTTGGAATGAAGGATGGAAAAGTTACCGACATGCACAGATCATGGGAATAAGAATTAGCGCGAGCCGGGCCGTGAACATTTCTACCGAGCGCGCCTTCCTTCCCGCGATTCGAAAAATCTGGCGGAGAGTTCTTCCTCCCTCCGTCTTTTCTTCTCTATCGAGCGGAACTTTCGCCATAAAGAAGTTCAATTGAATTCTTGTCGGATGCTCGTACTAATGCAGCAATTAGAAGTCACGAAAGAGAGAAGGGAGGAAAGAGACGTGCTCGCAGGTTCGCCGAGATTTCTCGCTGTTCTCTCGCCGGTAATCGCGTATCGATACGATTTTCCGGCCGGTATGACAGCGAGAACGCGCAATTATGACATCACGCGCTCAAATCATTCATCAGTGTCGACGGGTTTTCCCAGGTTTACTCGTTCACAGGTGTTCGTCGCCGGTGATCAATCTTCGGAAATTAGCTTTCGCTTGTGCAAAATCTCCCTCTCAATAAAAGCGACGGAATTAAATGATACCGCGAGAAAGAGAGAGAGGGAAAACGGCTCGAAAAGGCGAAGTTAGCGGGAAATAATACGAAATAACGAACCGATAATGCGTAACGTCGCGAGTTTACGAGCGTTCCGCGAAAGGGTTCGCTAACGAGAAAACTCGCGTGAGTCGCGGACATGTCTCAGGAAGAAACGCGAAGGGGAGAAACGAAGTAGTTGGCCATCCCGCTGCGAAGTTGAAGTCGAGATCGTCTTCGTAATCCGGCTCTCGTATCGATTCACGCGACGCCGAGCGAACGATACCGGGTTGTTGCACGAAGTGTTTACGACGTTCACGGTAAACCCTCGAAGCAGTGGGTCAGCGCGATCCGCACGAACTTTGACCCGTGCAAGCGAGATGAGCACTTCC